TATATATATATATATATATATATATGTGTGTGTGTGTGTGTGTGTGTGTGTGTGTAGGGGTGCTCAAAAACCCGATTAACTCGATCAACCCAACCCAACACAACCTAACACGAAATAACAAAATCTGAAGCAATCCGATGTCTAGTCGAGTTGTAAAATTGTCAAACCGTAGATATTGAGTTACTATTATTTGAACTCAATCCAACCCGATGAACCTGATATCCATTTATTTCTTGGATTTAAAATGATTGTTGAATTTCTATTAATATATACATTAGACAATTGCACTATCATGTATGCTTTTCATATACACATATTTTCAATCTATTCATATCTATATATAACTCATTTATATATATGTTCAATAACTGTGAACATATATATGTTAATTGAGAAAATTAACTGAATGTGATATACATAAGAAATATTGATAAGTTGTATCAAATGGTTTTATCAAATGGTTGATAATGAAAAAGAAATTATGAGTAGAGAAAAATAACATATTCAAGGTCAGAAGAATATTTTAATATACCAAAGTATTAACCCGACCAACCCGTATGGGTTGGGTTGCACTTTGGTTTGGATTAAGATTTTTCCAAACCGCAAACATGGAATTGAGTTATTCAAATGTCTTTAACCCGATCAATCCAACCCATGAACACCCCTATATATATATATATATACTCCTTTTAATTTTCTGTGAAGATGTATTGAATGATTTATTTGTGTTCTCCAATATTGAAGAAGCTTTACCTACTTGAATCTACTTGACACCTTCATTTTGCCTTCTCAAATCTAGAAACTGAACTCAATGACTTAATTTATTCAGACAACAACAAAACCTCTATTTTGATATAAAACCCTAATACACACTTTGAGATTTCTTTATTTCCCCTTTTTCTCATTCAAGGTGTTTTTTAAATTTTCACAGAGAGAATGCATGCCACGTGGCAAGTCGTGATTTCCTAAGATTGCAACATATTTATTGCTTGTTTATAAATATGGTACAATGTTTTTTTTACTGTTTATAATATGTATCAATTGATTATAACTGATATGCAAATTTTTTATATCATGTATCAATCAACTCTATCTGGTATCAACTTTTTTTGGTTGATCAACATCGGAAAAACGTTAAAGTTACACATTTATTTTACTAGTAATATACTCGTTGCAATACAGCGGATGTAAATGTTCTTGTAAATCAGGAATAAAAAAGTTAGTGCTAATTTTCATTTAAAAATTAAGAAATTGTATTTGAACAAATAAAAATATTGTAAAATAGTTAATACGACATTTTATTTTAAAAACATTCTAAAAACCTTGTTAAAGCGTCCTATAAATCTATTGTAACAGTTTCAGGTATAATGTTTTTTTTTTTATTTGATCTTAAAAACTTAAATCCTATAAAATATTTTTTAAAACATTTTTATACGTATTATAAAATTAAATTTTGTTATAATATGTAGCTTT